ATATATGAAAGTTTAATGTTTATCAGTACATTACAGAAAATAATGAACTTTATCACAATATGCTAGTTTTTTGAGGAAGACTTGTAAATTTAAAATKTTTCACTTAAAGCTCAAAAATTTGGTCAAATAAATAAATTATGTAGAGGTCCAATACACCTGGCCAAAATCTGGTACCAGCTTACACAGAAAAAGGCTGGATTAAAATAAATTATATAGACATTCTGTATGTTGGTCAGCAGGCTGGTTTTTTTTTTTTTTTTTTTGCAAAAAAACCACTTCTGTTTGAGCCTCTACTCAGATGTCCAAAAAAACTACAGTCACCGGAGCTTCTTTCCCACACTAGTCCTTGGGAAAGTGGTTTTGTATGAAACTGATCTACAAGGAAAACCCTCTGTTTTACAGTATCAGACCTTTTACCATGAATACACAAACAAAACAAAGAAATCAATCAAAAGACTTCTCACATCTGCAAATCCAAACCTTTAATTGTGGTAAAATCAGAATAGTTGCACAGTTTTTTTTTCTTTTTCTTTCGTGCAGTGCTTGTCGTGCACAACTGCTAAACTAATACATAAAGCAAATACTAAACTACCAGGTTGGTGCTACTGCTGAATCACATCGAGGGGTCTGGCCATTCAGTAATAACAGCACAAGACTTCCATTTCTTCAATTCACTCACTAAAACAATCATTCGGAAATACAGCTACACACTTTTTTTATTATTCTTTTAGACCACCTTCCTTGGAAAGAGAAATTAAGTTGCAAAGTGTTTGTATTTGTGCAATTAGTTTCCCTAAAGTGTCTGCTCAAAGAAAAAAAAAAGTTCTGACTGGCCAGAAACTTCCCTGTGATAGCATTAACACACCATCGCCTGAAAATTTGCAAATCACAACAACAGCAATAGAACCACGGTTAATTCTGCGTGATGAAGACTTTTTAAAGACGGCCACTTGCCAGACATTCACAACAAGGGTTTTAACAAGAAGGAACGTGTAAAGACTGGGAAAAAAATAAAATAAAATATAAAACTGACTCTGGGAGAATCTGGATAAGGTTTTTTTTTTGTTGTTTTGTACTGCGTGTTACTTTTTTATTTTTTATAAAATGCTCTTTGATCATAACAATTTTTTAATCCAAACCTTGGCATATCTGGTAATTTTTCAAATTCATTTGCCAATTATAAATCGCTATCGTGGACGATTGTAACTTATTATTGGCGACAGAATTTGTCGCCCGAACAGGTTTTATGGATCATAAATGTGACTTTAAAAAGGTAACGTGTGGGGGGGTAAGGCAATTCACTTCATATGTCACAGCTTCACCTTCAGCTTTACAGGCAAATTGTTACACAAAACAGACAAATAATATCAGCGATGAAGCAATATTTGTCTTTTGTAGGTGTTTATGGCTGTTATTTTCCAAAGCATCAAAACTAACTTACTACAAAAGTAAGAACGTTAATGCTTTAAAAAAATTCTAGGTGTTCCCAACCATAAGTGGGGAAAAAAAATTGGAGATTCTCACATTTTACCAAAATAAATTGGTTTTAGCCAAATAGTTTCAAAATTGCTTTATAGAAATAAGAGCTTCAAACAAAACTCTAATCCTGAGAATACCTGTAAGCTTCTGTGCCAACTGAAACATCCTAATCTGGATTAGTTCAAATGGTCTTCTTTTAGCAGCACTTCTTTTTAGGACAAGTGTTCAGGATTTGGTTTTCGTTGGGTAAAAATGGAATCGAAGACAAACCAGTGTTTGTAAGAACTATTGGGACCGATGGAAAGATGTGTACACAATTTTATTTCTGACAAACAGGTGATTTTTGGCACCAGYAAAAGCAGAACTGAACACATCGGCATACTGTGACATAATAGAAGTGAAGCCACCCCACACACCCTCCCAATTTTTGCATCTTTAACATTACAAAAAAAGCTCACACTACCCCAGGAAAATAGATTTTTTTTCTTCACTCATACCAATGACATTCAACATTCAAGTGCCAGTGTTTTTGTTTACTGTCTTTTGGTCAAGTCACTTTGTAAAAGATCAACTTTTGTATTAGGCTTATAAAAATAAATATTTCCCAAAAAATGCTCGATAAATTACACAAACTAGCAGCGAAAAAGTAGACTCGAGAACTCTTGAGTGCAAACAGCTAAATCCTACAGTTGCTGGTAATGAGAACTCCACCTGGTCCCAAAAAATTTAAATAATAAAATAATTAAAAAATAAATTTTATATCTAGAAGAACCTTTTTGTACAACACACACACACACACACACACAATAACCACATTACACTATGAGCAAACCTCTCTTTTTGACACGTGGCTGTGCTACACTGCAGTCACCTTCAGACATAAAAACCTCTCAGAGGTGAAAGACGTGTGCTACATAAGAGTCAATGTAAACAAGCTTTAAACTATCTTCCGCTAAACTTTCTTGGGATTTGAAGTTGTTTAACAACAGAAAAAAAGGCCTGCGGGCCGCAGCAATGGGAGCATAGCACCATTAATTGTTCTCTTCAACAACTTACTGACCACAGAATCACAAAAATCGTCAGCCTCATTCGGCTGCATGCAGCAACAATTTAGCTCTCTGCTCCACCTGGGCTGGGTATCGCCACTAAATTTAAGGCATCAATGGGTTTTAAAATCCAAACTAAAGTGCTGGGTTTGGTAAAGGAGAGCTGAGTTTTTGTCAGATGCAATGAACAGAGCGTGCTCTACGCGGTCCAGGCAAATTAGCTAGATTTATATCACAGGCACTCTCAGAGTGGAAATACAACAGATCCGCTAAAGATTCTGCATAGCTAACAAAATCACAATGAGCTGACGTTAACATGCAGGGAATGGTTTGCTACTAGCATGTTAGCATTTCCAAATCAGCAGGCAGAGGCTTGGAAGGTTTTTAATTTAATGTTGAGCGTGTTTATCATTAAATAGTCATGCCTTTTACTGACCGCAGTTGAAGCCAAAGCGTTTGGACAAAAGAAACCAATGTGGTTTAAATAATAAGGAATTTGAATGAAAATGTTACATTAATGGCACAAAATAAAGAATGAGTTAAAATGTGCCCAACTTCTGTATGAAATAGGTTGCGCCGCAAGTTGTAGATGGTGTAAACATTTTATTTTYTATGATCATTCTGACTAGCTCGACACTTTGACGCACAATGATTTACCAGACACCGTACGCAAACACAGAAGCTGTAACTGGACAGGTTGCGGGAGTTCCCTACCAAATGGTTCCACAACTAGTTTTCAGTTCACCGTGATTGTGTGCGAGGGGGGAGAAGGCGGGACTTAAATCCCCATGCCTCTAGCGAGCAGATACAAAACTACGACACGGCAGCTCCTGCAACAAGAGAAGGCCAGGACATCGGTCTAGCATTGCCTTACACGTCGACAGCTTGACAGGACAAAAACTACAACTACTGAACTTTTAAAATGAGGTAAAAGGAATTTTAGGTTTTTTTATTTTCTTGAAACAGAAAATTTGGGCAATGATCGTTGCAGAGGATGACTTATGTTTTTATGATCATAAGCTGAGGTAGTCAAATCAGTCACATTCAGAGATACTACGTTCATACCTACCCTACCACCATGTGATGCATTAACGTTAACACTTGTACATTTAAAGTTTAGATTTTTCATATCCAACTGAAAAATACTCAGCTCTGACCAACGTACATGTCAGTCTTTGATGAATTAGTAATTCTGTCACTACAAGGCACTGTGCACACCTTCTACATTTAACCAGTTCAGACCAATCGGTTCATTAACCCRTTAGCATGCTAATAGCAAACAACTAGCACACTAACATGCTAACAAGCTGATTGTTTCGATACGAATATCTGCTTGTCAAAATGTGAGAAGAAAATCATCATGTGCACAAAATCACTAGTCAACTAAACTTTATTTCACTTTGGTAGAAATTCAGTGCCCAGACACATATTGAAGGAAGAGAGTACAGTTGTACTAAGTACTGCTCTAAGTTGGGATATTTTGGTCATTATAACAAAAAAAACCACTTAAAATGCCAAAACAGGTTGAATATCCGGCTTCTGGTTAAAAGTAGTGACCTACCTACTAGTATATAAGCTTACGTTTAACTTTCAGTTATTTTAAAAACTACAAACACAAACAGCAGCCAACAGTGTGCTTGCTTTTTTCATTGCCCCTAGTGGTTTTGTGAAGGCACGGCTTTCTCCACAACATGCACCAGATTTATTGTAGAGCTTTCTAATGAGTGTTTAAATGATCAAACTATCTAGACTAAAACACAACGACTCAAGTAGCTTCGCGACAAATCTGTGGTTGGATGCGGCGGCAGCTACCAATTCAAGTAACAAATGCTAAACAGAACCTCTCAACCTCAGTCAACAGTGCAAGCTGAGAGTTCAGGCAGCCATCAGAAACTCTTAACTCAATCAGTATCTAGATGTAGAAGCTATATTTCTAATAATAAAAAACCTTACTAAAGCCTAATGGTACGTAGCTCTGAGGACATCAACAAAACGAGGATGAACATTATCCAAAACTTTAGTTTCACATTTATCAGCATTTCTACAATCACGTTTTCAGCTCTGGAAGACAACGGTTGGAGATGCAGATTTGATGGCTGCTTGACAAAATGTTTTATGTGAAAAGATGACCAGAAAGCTGTTTAAAAAAAGAATTTGGTTTCAATGCAAATTAAATGTTAACCTAAGCTTTATCCTTCATAACTGATTGTCATTTGCAACTTCATGTCCTTTTACAGTTTTTATCTCCCTGCTGGTTATTTGTTCGTAAATGTAAGAAAKCTCAGATGGAGACTATCCACCATTGCTGCAGGAGGAAATAAAATRGAGTTTTTATAACAAGCCCACAGAGATAAAATACTTATTTTTTGCCAAAATATGCAAAAATGATCAGTTAAAGCACCTCTAATTCAGTCACGCCCAAATTAAGAGACCAATTTTATCTGACTGCTGATGCACATATTGYTTTTTGGGGGGTGGGATATCCATACTAGTGGATAAGTGGAGTATTTATAAATAGATATAAGAAGCAACGATTGAGACACAGTGGAGTGTGATGTTTGATCCTGTCACAGCTATCTGTAAGCCTAGCATCGTCAGTAAGTCAAGTTTTTTTTAATTACCTCAACTAAAACAAAAAACTACTGTAACATGAATCATCAAGTTTAGAGATTTGCATCTTTTTGCATGTGGTTTTACAAAAAAAAACTGCAACGTAGCCAACAATTTTCCTACCCTCCTTTCAGAATGTACTTGAGGGAACTGGATCTTAAAAAAAAATAAATTGAAAAAAAGACTTGACAATTTTGATAAGTCAAACGAAACACGCACACAAAAAATAAAGTTGACAGTTATTACTAAAGCCTGCTATGTCAATCAGCTTTGCAATTTTACCTACTTGACCAAAAAACAACAACACTTGCATATGTTTTATTGTCTTGGTCCAGCTTTGTTATTTGTCAGACTCAGTGGGTGATTTGAGAATTATCATCATCACTTGTTTGGAAACCAAGCTCAAATTTCCCACTGAACAAAGCTAACCAGACCTGGTCCGTGCCGAGTGATCGAACTTTATTATTTTTATTCAAGTATTTGACATTCATTTTTTCTGCAAATTGCTTTTCTGTTGAAGACAATTTTGAATATTTACATTAAATCGAATAAAAAAATGAAGAGTTTTCCCCACTAGCTAACAACATTTAGTTGCTCAGTGGGGAATCGGACCGACGTCTTAATATAGATTGGAGTTCTCTTCACGAGTTCAATCAGGGTTGGAACATAGAAATCCTGGCACAGGTCGGCTGCCCCCCCCTTGAGGTCTCTTTTCCCACATCCGAGCCAAAACGGGGCTAACCAGGGATCGTTACTATCGGCTCTGATATGCCACTTTTCCACCAGCACAGTTTAGCTGACTCTTTCAGTTTTATGATCCAAACTACGTTGTGCRTTTATTCGTTCGAACCAGTTTAATACACACAGGCCCACTGGATGAGGCTGATTGGGAAGAAGTAGCTGCCAGTGCTTCCTGTTTAAATAAGAGCGCAACGTATTTAAGAGCGTTCTTAAACGTCTTGCCAGCTGATGGCAAGACCACGAGTGGGTAAAAAACATAAAACCATAAATGGCGACTTCGTTATAAACCTGACAAGAAAAGCATCCRCCAACAGAAAAACAACCTCTTTGGTTTGTGAGTGAGAAATGTCCAAATTTGGAACTAAAAACAAACAAAACGAAGAAAACAGTTTGTGCTTGATCACAGTGGCCACAGTTTTTAGCTAAAATGTGCTCGGAATATGTGGCATTGCATCCTTGGGAAGCCCCAGTTATCGCTGTAAATGAATAAGGCTCATTTTATTTTTTTACTTTTCACTCAGACCTCAACAGATCTAAGGGACCAGAGATTATATTAGATAAGGCTCCTTGTTTAACTCTCCAGGATAGAGTGAGCATAACTTTATTTTTTAATCTTTTTAAAAGTTGTATATCTCCTTTACGAGAAGATTTTGACAAACAAGGTTTGAGGTGGAAGCAGGTCAGGTTTCCTGAGAGCAGTGTGGCACTAAGAGTTTCATAAAAAGGGCACGAAACCCAGCCGGGTTCTGTGACTCTTGTTCTTTACAGCAGCAGACATGTAGTGTTTAAAACCTATACAATGAAATAATACACTTTAATATTCAGAAACGGCTTCATCACGTGAAGATGAGATGTGCTCCCCTCCCCCATCGACTCAACACAAAGCGATGAAATGTAAAAGAGCCGTTTCTGTTTACAGTAAGAAGGGAAATTAAAGGAAACATGGCCGCTGCTACGCAAGTGTCACTTAGAGCAACAGTGCTTTGTGAAACCAAACCGCCAGCTCAGAACAGAGCTGTAGGTGTTACGCAGGTCAAATGAGCAAAACTGTTTCCCCGAGAGCATAAAACCACGTTTTCTCTGCATTTTCCACATTAAATGCAGCAGAATTTCCAATTAAATCAACCATGCATGTGTTTTTTTCAGTGGTTATATGCTGAGAGGAAGTAGCTCATCTGRTTAACTCTGAGGAAATGAGGATTTACTTTGAGTTTCCTCAGACTTTTTTCTGTAGTTTTTGATTTTGCCAAGGTTTGATTTAGCTCAATCCTAGTTTATTTCCTTCCAAATGGGAGCAAAAAAAAAAAAAAAACATGTTCAAAACCCACGACTTCAAATATACAATATTTTTGGTAACCCTTGGCCTATACTTGTAGCCAGTTATGCATTAGTGATTTAAAAAAAAAGACAAAGTTCAAATTCTTAAAGGCACAGTACAGAAACAACTTCATAATGTTGGTAACAAAGGTGAAGTCTTTAAACTGCTCATTAGTTTCAGCGTTAGTGGGTAATAACGTCTGACCTTCCACTGGTGGGGTTTTTCACTTCGTCCAGCCCCTTCTTGTTTTTCTTTGTCAGATCTCAGTAACTTAAATCTTGTTTTAAAAAGGGTAAAACAAACTGCTGACTGAGTGACCCCCCCTCCCCCCTTTCATGTATCAATCATATAAATAAAGGAGATGTCAGCGAGTTCACCATATTCAAATTTCTGCAGACACATTTCGCTTCCGACATCTTGCCTTTCTTTATATTCTAGAAAAGTTCTTGGCCGGTAATTTACAACATGGCCATGCACTGAATACACAGATGATGGTGAAGTTACACAGGGAGTTTGACTGGTTAATGGATAAATGCAGACAAAAAAAACCACACGTGTTAAGTGGTGAGATGGAAGGAAGAGTTTGCTCTTTTTACAGCTGTTTTATAGAAATCCACGCATTTGTGAACACATTCTATTTTATGGGCTTTGAGCACACCTTGAACCTTAGTTGGTTTTATTTTCCCCCTTCTGGATGATAGTCACTAAGTGAAAATGATCCGTTTCCTGCTGGACGCTGAGACAAATCTCTTGTTCAGCGTTGAAACGTAACCAGTTAAAAGTCAAGAATCCCTCTGTAAAAAGTGGCTTACCGCTAAGAGATCAGATCAAGACGTTAGGAGACAAGAAACGAGAAGAAGCACAAGAAAACTCTAAAGCTAATAAAAAAGGTATGACTGGTTGGAGATAGAAGGGAGGGATATATAAATGAGTATAAATAGTTTAATAACATGCATGTAGGGTCCAGGGGTAATGGAGGTGACGAGACAGATGGGATGCAGGTGACAGTGTGGAGAAATGATGGAAGGGGAGGTTGAAGGGGGAAAGAAAAATGAGTTAATGGAGACATCTAGTTGCCCCACCAGTCAACTTGAGAGTGTGAGTAGTTGCCACCGTAGCCGTCGCTTGTGTAAAAGTTGCCAAAACCACCTGAAGAGGAAACAAGCAAAAAACCCTTAATGTAAAGCTTCTTGTTGGCCTTAATATGTTGCTTGTCTAATCTATTCTACTAAAAGTTTATAATTACAATTACTAGTTATTTACGTTGATGAATTTTTTCATTTAAGCATACTGACGCAATGCATTCTGGGCATGAGGGGTTCCAGAGTCAAAGCTAAAAAGCTGTAATATGTGACAGTTAAGTTATATTTTGTATTAGCTTCTATGTTCTGCATAATATCTGGGTTGAAACGATCAAACATGAGCCAACACAATATATACTACCTCAAGATCTAACGCCATATTTATTAGCGCAGGAGTGAACACTACATTTTTATTTATGTTTATTTGTGACCAGATCCCCTTAAAAACGAGATCTCGATCTCAGTGGTTTTAAATTTGGTTAAACAAAGGAAAATTAATTAACGAATTTGCTCTGCAGCTAACGCCATATATAAGTTCAGGAGAAAAATGCTATATTTATTAGCTTGGAAGCTAATACCCTTTATCATCATATACACATTAGCTCTGGAGCTAATGTGAAAGCTAAAAGGCTAAAGCTGAGGTGAGCCTTCCATGAAGCAGCTCTGTTGTCCTCCATCCACATGGAGTCTTTTCTACATTCTCCTCTCTGTGAACACACTCCACTTTCATTGAAAAGAGCCGAAGGTCAGACATTAATGTTTGATAGTGTTCGTACCTGAGCAGCCCAGAAGGCTTTGCGGGGTAAATATAAACATCTTTGTGACAATTTTTTTCATTTATAAAAACTAAACCATCTACAGTATTTTTAGTCTTGTTTTTATAGTTGAAGTAAATGTTTTTCAAACATCTCAGCCATCCTCACCTCCGCCAAAGCCTCGGTTTCCTCCATGTCCCGTCTGGTTGCGTCCTCCACGTCCCCCGAACCCTCCTGCATTTCCTACAGCTGCAGTCTGACGATAATCACGTGCTCCAAAACCACCGGAGAACCTTGTTATGAAAGTAAACATAAAATAACGTGGATGTATTTTTACTCATTTGTAATATTTTGACATTTTCAAAGTGAGACATTTGTGCAGATTATTTAAAAAGGAGATGTCAGTTTCGTGCACCTCTTAGAGCGTCCTCTGTTGCTACTCTTGTGCTGGTGTTCATAAGCCAGGCTCTCCAGCCACGAGGGAACTTCCTGTTTAGCTTCTACTAGGATGTCCAGCAGGTCTTTAGTGATGTTCCCGTTTTTATCATTGAAGAAGGATGTTGCCAGTCCTACAGTACACACATGTAGGAAACGTTAGGAAATGTAAAAGTAACAGTAGTGGTTTCCAGCTTTATGGGGAGTCAATCTGTTACCCAGGTTTCCAACTCGTCCTGTACGTCCGATACGATGGACGTACTCCTCTATGTCACTTGGCAGGTCAAAGTTAATCACGTGTTTCACATTGGAGATGTCCAAACCTCGTGCTGCAACCTGAAGACACAGGAACAAAAAGCTTTATAAATTAACTGCAGCACATTTTACCATCAGCTCATCCTCCTCATCCTTCTGATTTCTGTTTTACTGACCGCTGTAGCAACCAGGATGGGACATTTTCCTGATCTGAACTGGCTCAGAGCCTCCTCCCGGTCTCTCTGGGAACGGTCCCCATGGATACTGGTGCAGGCATAGCCTTCTCGGTACAGGAAGTCCTCCAAAGCATCTGCTCCTTTCTTAGTCTCGACGAAAACCAGGGTCAATGAGTCCTTCCCTGGTAAAGAGAGAGGCAAAATACACTTGCAATTAATTCAGAAAACTTAGGATTGAACCTCTGTTTAAACAAAACTTTAACCAAAATACTTTCGATTTATTTAACCACTTAGACCTAATCATCCACTGCATTTAGTCTTTAATCCAAAYGCTAGTGGTGTTCACAATCTTTTTATGTACACAGGCAGTGAAATGGTAGGCCTTATCTGTACAATTTTCTACATGAACTGATGTGATGCTTACAAAGAAACTTAAATGTTTGCCTTCGTTTAAGATCAGTTTAGCATCAAAAGCAATCTGTAACCTTAAAAATAAGGTTGTCCATCTGTAGCTAAAAATGGTTTCATGACATATGGACACAAAAACACATCTTGCACATTTCAGAGAGAAACAGAACCTGCAACAACTAACTAAAAAAATAACTTCTTAAAGACACATCCCTTTTCATAGATCCACATTTTAATCACAACCCCTGAAATTGAATTAAGTACAAAAGGAAACTCTACCAATGGATCTGTTAACCCTGGTAAATCAGATTCTCTCAAAAACAAACATTTCCATGCACTACCTGTCAATCTTGACAGCTAATGGTCCATAGAGGTACCATGAAACACTGAAACTGTTATTTTTGTAAATTAGTGAAATTCACAAAACATTAACTCCTCGTTTGACAAAAAGATTCATATTTACATGAAAACAAAACGTGATTGGCCTTTTTAAAAAGAAAAGCCCTTGAGTGAAGTCACTATTAAATAAAATGTTTTGAGTTGCAGCTCTACCAATCATCCTAATCTGAAAAAACAAGGTGCTTTTGTCTGTAACTAATAAAAAGCTACATGACATATTGGCATTCTAGCAAAAAAAAAAAAAAGGCACTAATAAACTAGTGACAATGATAAATTAACTTTTTGTAGGTATGACATAAAATCTGTGGTGTGACGCATGCAGGTTTGTTCAATAAAACTAACGGTGGTATCTCTCGGGGCTGCAACTGTTGGGGACGAGCTGGAGAGTCAGACTTGACTCAATATTCCGTGAAAATACGCCAATCTTCTTTTGCAGACTCACTGAAGTACGAGTATAAACAGCTGTGCTGCTTTATTTTGTGCTGCCAACTTTCGAAGGCACGGCTCATGTATGCGCGCACCACAGACAGAAACGTATTCAAGGCCGTGCACATTATTTAAAGGGATCCATGATAAGTTGTAACAGACTTTATTTGATAAACATTTATTTTAACTGTAAAATAAAGACTGTAAAAATAC